CAATGGACAATCTCGTTTGCAATGATAAATACCCGGTCGTTTGAAGATGATTTTCAAAAGTTTGTAATACATTTTTCTGCAAATTGATGGACGATCTGCGTTTTTTGCACTTAAACTGCTTTAGTGTGTATAATTGTGTGTGTAATTTAATTGGAAATTAAAAAAAGGCGAAACTCGAACATGCATTTAGTACATGAGCACCCTTAACATAGTATTTGCAGTATCTGCAGCTTCCCCCTTGATCATTTGTTGATTCATTGTGATCAGCGTTATGAAATAAACTGCACCGAACACAATAATATCACACTCAATATGTGTATTTGAAAAGTTTATCAGATCTACAGATGCACCCGCACTAAGAGAAAAATGTCGAATTCAAAGTGCATTAGTGCGGGTCCCAAGCCTGAGGCGCGAAGTCTCGCCGTGACCGAGAAAAATCGATTCACCCTCCCATAAAAAGTTATCACTTCAAAAATGAACATCTGGATCCTTTAGAAGCGCAACATATCCGTACCACCTTTGCCTGGTCGAAACGCATCGTAAAATAAGTACCATAACTGACGTTGTCGCTATATTTAAAGGTGGCACCATCGTCCGAAATCCATGAGTCAATTTGCACAAAATCAGCAACAAATGACGGAATTTTGCATTTCATAATGGCAGCGTTTCCTCGAATTACGTACTCGTTTTCGGCTTCCGTAATGTAGAACTGCGAGACAACTGAAAGCGAAATTAACGTGACCAATTAAGTGAAATGAAAAATTAGCGTAACGGACAATTTTCATTTTCAAATTTAGTTTCGGACATCTGGCTTTAGTTGATGAGATGAGGCGGAAGAGTTTTTAGGTTTCGTAACCAAATTACCATAATTATCGGATAGTTTGTAGAGTTTCCCACTATCATCGATCCACGAATCAACGGACACGAAGTCCGCGACGAACGATGGAATCGAACATTTCAAAACGGCTGTATTTCCCCTAATTACATATTCCGCCAATATTTCCGCATTGTAGAACTGGTTTACCACTGAAATTAAAGACCCCGTTATTTCACACTCATAAAACCACAGATTCGAACGAAGGCACATGGAAGCTGTAATCAATTGTTGGCAATTCATATGTAATAAGTCATAAGTAACAGCCTCAGATTAAACAGATGTATTTGTTCATGATGTAGCAGCTTGTAAGCACATTTTCTATATTAAATCATTGGAGCCATTTTTAGCTGTTGATGCGTTGCAATTGTTATCAGATACTCAACTCAAGCCAGTTGAACACTCACGTATGCATATGCGAGAATGAAGATCAAAAAGGAAAACCTCTTTCATTATTAAGGTAAAAACCGACATTGCATATGCTTCATCTGGAACTCCTGCCCGTTAATGGAAAGGAGCACATAGTCCCACTCTAAAGCCTATAAAGTTACCATAGTTAGTTCCATAAGTGTACTCGATATCTTCGCCAATCCATGCCTCAACACGAACAAAATCCGCAACAAACGACGGAATATTGCATTTGATAACAGCGGTATTGCCTCGAATTACGTACTCTGAAACGACTTCGGCTTCGTAGTACTGGTTTACAACTGAAAGTGAAAATGGCTTTTGCTCAGAAGGAACTTCCAGTGGTTCATTGGGGCGCAGTGCACGCCCATCAAACTCTCGTGAGTTGAGTTTGTCGGGTTGTTTTATAAATACCGAAATTTCTTTCGTTCAAAGAATACTCGTGGCCGTCGCTGTCGCTCCAAGAAATCACGCCGACGAAATCAGCTACGAAAGATGGAATTGCGCATTTCAACACAGCGCTATTCCCACGGATCACGTACTCATTATTCACTTCGGTTTGGAAAAATTGCTGAACAACTGTAAAAAAATGCTGGCTACTTAAAAGGAACTCACAGAAAAGAAACATTTCTTGCCGCGAAACCCTTTGAAACTCTTGTAGGGATTTGGTTACGAGCATGCTTCGAGCATTTTATCGGGGAATTACCGTCGGGGTTTGCTAAGGGATAAAAATCTTCGTTCTGGTCGGTATGCCACGATACAACTGCAACGAAATCGGCCACGAATGAGGGTATTTGGCATTTCATTAAAGCGGCATTGCCCCTGATGGCAAACTCCTTTATAACATCGATGTCGTAGTATTGGGTTACAACTGGAACATTCATTTAATTTGAAACAAACATGAAGCCTTGCTTAAACCGTTTAGAGGCCCCGTCTCTCAAGGTAAACCGCTCAAAAAATATTTCGTCCGTTTTCCATGTCAAATCTCTTGTACAGATCAGTAAAATTGAACGGCAAAGGGAAAAATATGCTCGGATTTACCCTCTGGTGCATCCGGAAAGAAATTTTCGTTCTGGTCCGTGTGCCAAGATACGACTTGGACGAAATCCGCAACAAACGATGGAATTTCACATTTTAAAATAGCTGCATTGCCGCGGATGGCGTATTGCTTGTTCACATCGATATCGTAGTATTGAGTCACAACTAGCAAAATAAAACCATTTTTTAGTATTAGCAGAAGAACTTACGACTGAGAATTGCTTAGTTTTCGTATCATACGGACCACAATCTTGCCAAAATGTAATTCTATATCCGTACTAGGCCTAGGTAACTCAGTGAGTTATTAGGAGTTGGCGCAGTGCAGCGCAAATGGCTTTGTGCGCCAACCCAACGCACCGGCGCAGTACTCAGTTCTTTGCTGAAAAAATGTTGATGACTTTTTTCACTTTTTTTAGATTTACTTTAAAGGCCATTTATTCATAATATTTTTAAAATGTCTTCAAATTTCAGAATTTTCCAGTTTTAGCCAAGTTACTCTTTCTTCGAAATCAATTTTCTAAAGTTTCACTTAAAAATGCTGACAATCTTAATTAATTTTCTATAAAAAAAACGAACATAATAAGCGAAAGTTTCTAACAGAATATTTGAAAATTTTTGTTAAAAAATGTGGTTTTTTAGCTTTGACTGAATTGTTTTTGCTTTAGTGTCTACTGAAAAATGCTCTATTTTGTATGTTTCACTTAAAAATACTGACGATCTGAATGTATTTTACGCGAAAAATTACAAGATAGATTTATAGCTTTGTAAAAAATGTACAAAAACTTTTATCAGTGTCGACGTTTTTAATCGAAAACTCACAAAAGTATTATTTTCTGATGATTATCTTTTTTTTTGACAATAATAGAGTGTTTTCAGCAAAAAATGACAAAAGTAACTTTGCTAGAAAATTTGCCTCATTCATCGGTTTGCAGGGAACTTTAGAAATCCATTTCAGCTTCGAATTTGGCACAAAAACAAAATCATTTTATTCAGTTTTTTTCCGAAAGTAATTAGGTCTGTGTTGAAAAAACGGCCAGAGAGCAAAAGTTTACAAAAAATTATTGGGAAAAATACTTGAAAAAAAAGTTCCTTTAAATTTTCAGGTCATTCCAGTTTCAGCAAAGTTTCTATTAGGCAATTCTTTCTACGCAAAAATTGCATTATTTTTTAGTTTTACTTAAAAGACTGGCAATCTTCACGCATTTTCTGTGAAAAACTATAAGATAAATTTTATTGGAACACTCGCCTACGCAATGCAATCGCTTTGTAAAAATGTTTGGAAAACTTTTCGCACCCTCGAATTATGTACAAAACCCTAATTTATTTCTGGCTATTTTTCCAAAAATATTTCCCCGAACTGAAAAAGCGAAAGTTTATAATTTATTTGGAAAACCGTTGGAAACTGGAACAACACTGTCTCTAAACAGAAAATTCAGTCAGTCAATTCGTCCTCCGTTTGTAAGATGGAGGGAGGGATGGGAGGAATTGACAGATCTCCAACCAATAGAAACAGTTTCGTACCATCGTATCATCTGTCAATTCGTCCGTCGTCGTACGAATTGACAGATCTCCAACCAATAGAAACACTTTCGTACAAACGGATGCATGGACTCGGGCTTAAGACTGCATAAGCGATCAAATAGTGCGTTGATCGATAATTTACAAATGAAAAAAGGGGTTGACTGTTGTTGGACACTCAATATTAATGGATTGTTAACTTTGCCCTTTAGATCCTGCCTGCAGACACTTAGATTACTTAATTAGCCAATTACATTGCCCAATGTTGGTCGTAATTTCTAACCTTATGACAGTCATGTTTTCGGAAAAAAGCGAAAATCGCGTGACTGTGATAATCGAATTCCAAGGGATGATTCTGCCATTAGCAAGCATACCGGGTTTATAAGACTGTATGTATATAGCGTGGAAAATCAATACGATGTAAAGCCCAAATCTCCCCATAAAATTGCGTTTTCTTTCGATCAGGGCTGCGCTAAAAGTGTGACATTAAATATTTAGGAATCCAACTGATTCGACCTTTTCTAAACGAGACGGGAAAAATCGAAGATCATATGCAAAACTTTTTCGCATCAAATCTCTTCTAATGATTGAGCTGACATTTAATTCACTTAACGCAACAAAAGGCATGCAAAATTAAGGCCAATTGCCTTTGGAAATGCCAACGAATAAAAAAGTGTACGACGACGCCCCAGTAGGAAATTTATGAGCGAAATTCGGGATCATGTATAACGAAAATGTCCTAAGCATGTGCTACCTTAGCATCCTAAGTGTGCTGTTGTGGTACACTCCCGCGCCTCTTGCGTGTTATCAGTAAATTCCTGGGTAAAATCTTGTTCCCTTTCGGTTAGATTAGAGCTTTAGTAATTAAAATAGTCGCATCAGCAAATCAAACATCATGTAACTTGGTGAGGAACAGATGTGAACGCTGGGAATTTTACGCAAATAACATTTGACATTTATGTTTCGGTGAAACTCCATGTAAAGCTAGCTGAAAGAGATTAAATGTTGGTTAAATTTACGATGTCCCGTATATAACAAATATGTACGAAACATCAAGAAGTTAATAGAATATTAGTGCGTATTCTTCGAACAAAATATTTTAATAATAGATACTGGAAAACAAGGCGAACAATTTGCGCTATTAACTATAGACGGACCTGCTCGAACGTTAACATCTCTGGAGTTAATTGATCCAACGCTGTTCTTGGCCAGACAGGCGTAGACCTGCGCGTGCACCTCCTGGCGATAGTCCTCAGCTCTGAACGGCGGAAAAACCAAGTTTCCATTGGCCAGAACTTGACGTAGTCCGGGGACGTCACCAACGGCACTTCCATCGGATCGGACCTGCTCAAACCCCATCTGACTGTATTCAACCATCCCACCAGCCCCAGTTCTTCTTGCGCTCTTACCCAGATTATGTCGGGAGGCGGGTTGCCACTAGCACTACACTCAACCACAGCACCAGTGGTGTTTGAGAAATCCACACGGTTTGGGGGTTCTTTGAGGAAAACTGGCCCGGCAGTATCATCCTCAGCACGCACGGAAAACACCGCAAAAGCGACCAAAAGTACTCCTAGGAGCATGATGGCGCAGGAATTACTGAAACAAACAAAAATACTGTTAA